TTATATAAATCTGTTGCTACAGCCACTGCTGTTGCTGTGCGCGCTTTGCTTATAAAAAAAAGAAAACAGAAGAGGAAAAAGAGGAAAAAAAGAAAGTAATTGAATGAAAAATATTTTTATGAGAAATTTTTCGGTCATTAAATAAAGATTATGCTCTGCATTTTTAAACTGACAACTCGTTAAAAAAAATAATAATAATAAAATCTATTCATTATTTCTCGTTTATCTAAAATCTTTTAATAATAATAATAATAATAATAATAATAATAATAATAATAATTTTTCTCTTTATAGTTTAAAATTATTTTATTTCGAGTAAAAGAAAATGACGTAAAGGGGGGGCGTGAGGTGGAGGGAGGTGGGGGGGGAAGGTGGAGAGAAAAGAAAAGTTTTTTTTTTGATGTTTCGAATTAATTTAAGCGCAATCATCTACCAACAAATTTTAAAATTTCAAAAAAAAAACTTTTTTACGACGTTTTAAAATAATAATAATAATAATAATAATGATAATAATAATAATGATAATAATAATAATGATAATAATAATAATAATAATAATAATAATAATAATAATAATAATAATAATAATAATAGAGTTAATAAGTTTTATTTATTACAATCAACATTTGAATTGTATTTTTATGATACTTTTTCTCTCTCTCTCTCTCTCTCTCTTCGTTTGAATAGAATCTTACTAATTTTTTTAAACAGTAAAAATTCGCGGGAAAATTAAATTTTTTCCCAAAACAGATTTTATTCCATTTGGATTTTTCTAGAAATTTAAAAAATAAAAATAAAGCAGAAGAAGATAACTACAACCAATTAAATGAAGGAAATAAAAATGTCAAATTTTGTCGTTTCCCAAAAAAAAACTTCCCAACCGAAACTTTAGTTTTTAATCAAAAGTTTTTTAACTTTAGTTTTTTTTTTTTATATATAAACGATTTCGTTTTTTTATTTATTTTATTTAAATTATTAATTACGCGGCTTAATAATTTTTCCAGCCATACAAACTAAAATAAAAATTTTTTACAAAAACGAGGACGACGGATTAAAACAATAACAAAATCATCGGGGGGGGGGGGTGAATAACTCGAAGGTATGCGAAAGTGAAATTAAAAAACAAAACGTTTAAATAGAAATTATCATCATCATCATCATCATTTCTGCATTTTCCGAATTAAAAACAACGATTAAAGCAACAACAACAACAACAAACAACAAACAACAATTTTTTTCATTTTTCTCCACAAAGTGATGTTGGTAAAATAAAATAAACATTATTTTTTCCCGTACTAAAAATTTCATTTAAAAACTCCCCTCCCCCCAAAAAAAAATAGAATTTTTATCGTTTTCCCGAGGGGAGAGTGAGAGGGGAGGGGTAAATTTTCAACCGGAAATTGATTTAAAATGACAAAAACTCAACGTTTTCCGTTCGAAAAAATGTCATTTATGAGTATTTTATACGAATTTTAAAAAATTTTTTTTTTGTCGCGTTTTCGTTAAAAATTATGATTTGACTCACCGTCGGTTCCGTTAAATCCAGGTGCTCCGTGCATACCTGGTAAACCATCCATTCCAGGTAAACCGTCTAAACCTGATCTTCCCGGTATACCATCTAAACCGGGTTCTCCAGGCACTCCATCTCTTCCATCCAAACCGGGAGCTCCTAAAAAAAAAAAAAAACCAACCTGATTATTTTTTGAAAAGAAAAGTTAAAAAAAAAAAATGGCGCAAAATCTCGACATTTAAACTTTCTAAAATTATTTTAAAAACTTTTTAAACACAAAATATGCCGAGTCAGATATTTTTTTTTTCAAAATCGACGACATTTTTCCGCCATTTTTTTTTCTTTCCTTTTTAAATCTGTCAAAATCGTTAAATAAAATTTTTGAGAACCGATGGCGGCTAACTTAATTTAAATAATTTTCTCGTAAAAAATTATTAATAATATTTCCATTGAAAATTTTTAGCCGTTAAAAAAAAAACCTTTTCTAAAGTTTTTCAAAGGTAAAAAAAAGGTTCCTTTGAAAAAAAAATTAAATATTCATTCGATTAAGAAAATACGTTAAAAACCCTAACGGGTATTTTAACCCGGTTCGAAATTTTCCGCGAATAGAATTTTTAAAAATGTGCATAAATTTTTTTTTTTTTTTTTTTCACGCGTACCTGGCCAACCGGTCGTTCCTTTAGGACCTCTGGGACCTGCTTCTCCCTGTAGTCCGTGAGGTCCACGCATTCCTGGTTCCCCTGGAAAACCTCTTTCTCCTCTTTCACCTTTTTGTCCCTCCATACCCGGAGGTCCTTTTTCTCCAGGCGGTCCTGTTTTACCAGACGGTCCCGGAGGACAATATTCTTTTGTTGCGGCGCAAAATCCTTGTATCGCAGCCAGCTAAAAAGAGAGAGAGAGAGAGAGGATAAAATTAACAACACTCCCTTCATCACTTTGAATGTTTATCTTTTGTTTTTTTATTTTAATTTTTATTCAATTTTAAAACTTTAAATAAATTTTAAATAGAATCCATTAAATAAAATAATTAAAACCTTTTTCAAACGTTTGTCTTATCTCCATAAAAAACTTGTTATTCTTAAATTTATCGCCGGAATTTTAAACACAAAAGAAATTTTTTTATCAAATATTTGATATCATTACACGAAATAAATAAATAAATGATAAAAAAACTTTTTACAACGATTCGTTTTCTTTTACCCCCCCCCCCCAGAAGTTACGACACTGAGGAAAAATTATAATTAATCAATTTACAGTTACGAAAATAAAAGTTTTCTTTTCCCCCCAATTTGTTTTATCAAAAAAAAAATAATTATTTAAAATTTTCCAGTCGTTCTTTTACGTTTTTATAGTCACCGCGACATTAACCAACCATTTTTAACAGTAAAATAATAATAATAATAGAAAGAAGAAGTAGAGCGAAACCTTTGGAAAATTTTTTTTTTTTTAATTATTAAATCTTGACAATGAATTTTGTATTCGCAAAACAACATGTTAAAATTACGCATAATTACGATTTGACGGGGGGAGGGGAAGGGGGAGGGAGAGGGAAAGAAAGAAAATTATCCGAAATGTAATATGTTTAAAAACGTTTTTGTTTTAAAAAGGAAACAAACATTTTGTTAAATCTTTTGTTAAGTAATAAAACAAAGGAAAAATTCAAAAAAAAAAAAAAAAAAAAAGACGTACGATAAATTTAACTACAAAATAAAACGCAAATTTAATTGCTCAAGTGTTATTAAATCTTTGTATGTTCGTCAAAAAAAAAAAAATGTCATTAATTGACTTTTCCTTGTTTTATCCTCAGTAATAATAATAATAATAATAATAATAATAATAAACAAAAGATTTATAATTTATTATATTGTTCTTTTAACTGGAATTTTAACTTTTTTTCAGACTTAAAAATTACATTTTGATTTCGAATAATATAACCTGTTGCTCTTTTTCGAATGAAGTAAACATTTATAAATTTTTTTTTTTTTGAACGAAAATAATTTTTAATTTCATGTTTTTAATAGGAGAAAAAACGATAATAATAATAATAATAATAATAATAATAATAATAATAATAATAATAATAATAATAATAATAATAAAAAACAACAAAAACAAACGACGTTTGTTCACCTCGGAAAAAAAAACTATTTATTTTAATTTTTTTTAATTAATAATAATTTTTAATAAAATATTAATAAAATTACCTCATTAGGTATTAATTACGTGAAATTTTTTCTAAAAAAAAAAAATAATAATAATAATAATAATAAAACGAAGAAATTCTAAACCGAATAATCACTGAAAAGGGGGAGAGAGAAAGAGAGAGAAAAAAAATTTTTTAATTTTTTTTCTGACGTTAAAATTTCAACGATAAAATGATGAAAAGTTACGAAAGGTTTTCATTAACTCAAAGGAAAAGAAAATTCTATTGAATGTGAACGATTTTATAAAGGCTCGAACCGTGACTGCGTGAAATAAATTGATTTTCTTTCAACAACAACAGCAACAACAGCAGCAAAAAAAAGTTTTTTCCCCCCATTTTCTTTTTTTTTCACCCCCCTCCCCTTTTTTAAAATTCACAGGTTATAATGTTATTTATCAACTAATACAAAAGAATAATATCTGTGATAAAAAGTTAATAACTTTTTTTTTATAATGAAAAAAAGAAAAAAAGAAAAATGTCAACTGCCAATTTTTTTTTCCCCTTAAAAAAAAAAAAGAAAAATGATTTAGGCCTAACGCCTTCTTTTTTTTTTTTATCTTTTTTCAATTAATTTTTCTTAACGAGAAAAAAATTTTTTTAAAATATTGTTTCCGGTATCTTTCATTAATTATTAAAAAATTATTATTATTATTATTAATCACAGTACGGCCATAATTATTTTTTACCTAATTAAAAAATTAAAAAAAAAAAGACGACGAGGAAACGCCAAATTATTATAAATTATCTTGCGTGCATTTGCTTTTTGAGAGAGACAAGCGACTGAACGATCGACCAATCAAAAACGTTTATTTTAAATGATTCGTTTTTATATTGTTAGATGGCGCTACCGTTTAATTCGTTTAAATTATCATTTAAGTTAATAATGATTTTGTTAGTTAATGTGATTAATTCTCATTCAAAAAAAAAAAAAAAAATTTTTAATTAATAAGGATATTTATTTGTTGGGTACATTAATTATTATTATTATTATTGCTACTTTTTTACAAATAATGATAATAATAGTAGTAGTAGAAATAATTACGAGCAAACAGTAAGAGACAAATGGAAAATAAAAAGAAAAATTTTTGAACGTGTTACCAAAATGAGAAAAAAACATTTGTTTTGACGAATTTTTATTTATTATTATTATCATCATTATTATTATTTCGTTTCAGGTTTTTTTTTTTTTTATATGTAACAAATATTTTTTACGCCTCCCTGTAGTTTTTTTTTTTTTTTTTTTGGCAGTATCATTTTTTTCCAGACTTAATCTTCATCTTTTTTTTCTTTTTTTTTTTGTCAAATTCAGCAAATCGTTTATCTTTTTCATATTCGGCTTTAATTTCTCATTGTTTTGTTTTTCATTCATTCATTCTCTTCGAGGGGCATCTCTGCGGTTTATTTTTTTTCGGTTATAAAAAAAAATTTTTCGACGTTTTTTTTTTTTTTTTTTAATTCTATTGAAAAAATTTTCCCATCTTTTAAGTGAATAATCATTAGTCAACCTGACATCCTCGTATAATCCCGTTCCCCCTCCTCCCCCAACCTCTCTCCATTATTTTAATATTTAAAAAAACATACGGCGTTAATCTCTTTTTTTATTCAATTTTTTTTTGTTTGTTTTCCATTTCATGATGATTATTCTCTCTGTGTTATTATTATAAATAAATGAAAATTTAAAAAAAATCATCCGCCATATTGGAATTTAACCGCGTAAATTTTTCCGTCGTAAAATCAATTTATTATTATTATTATTAATGTATTTCACACCCGATTTTTTTTATTTTTATCGGATTTTCACTTTCTAAACAAATACGTATATTATTATCAAATCGTATTATTGATTAAAATGAAAAAAAAAATTTTTTTTCGGGGTGTAAAATTTAAAAATTAAAATCGTAAATTTGCCAAAGTGTAAAAAAAAAAAAAAAATTTTTTTTTAAATATAATGAATTGATGCTTTTCCGGTTAGGTAATAAATCTTTTTATAGTGTTTCCTTTTTTATTTAAAAAAAAAAAAAAAAAACAAAAAACTTTTCGCAAGTAAAAATGAATTTCGAAAAAAAAAATGGTGCCATTTAAATTTAAAACGTGTTTTGTTTTTATGCAAATTTTTTTTTTTTTTTTAAGGTTTAAAACCCCCCGCCCGTTTTAAACCCACCCCCCTTCCCGGGAACACCTCAAACCGAATCACAATCTGATATTTGACCTTAAAAAAAAAATATTACTCGCTATCCTTTCCTGTTGGATTTTTCCCCCTCCCAAATACATACATTAAAATTTTTCTTTTTTAAATTTTCCTAGATATAATTATAATTTTCCAGAATTGGGAAAACAAAGAAGAAAAAAAATAATAATGATAATATTATACAAAATCTCATTTTATTAATTCTGTTGATAAATAAATAAATAAATAAATTTTTTTTTTTTTTAATACCCATAATAATAACGAAAAAATAACGGGAATTGAATCGTTGAATGAATGGCGACAAACCCAAGGATTATTATCTAAATATATATTTATATATATGTGTAACACAATAAAAAAAAAATTTTTTTGTCATACAATTGAGTCAGAAGGTCAATCATTTGGATAAAAGCTTAGAATGATGATTAATTTTGTGGGTTTGGCACAACAAAAAAAAAATTTTTTTTTTAAATTTACCGCGAATTACAAATACACGTTTTTATTTTCCGTTTTCACCCCCACCCCCACACCCACACCCTCCTCCCCCCGCCGTTCGATATGATAATTTAACTTTTTAAATACCTTACATTAAAAAATTTTAATTAAAAAAAAAAATAAAAATGGAGGCGTCGTCACTTTAGCAACAGAAAAAACAGGAAAAAAAAAATAAAACTTAAAATTCATAATTTAATCTGTTTAATATTAAAAACGATAAAGTTTTTCCCTTATTTTTTCCTTTTTTCTTTTTCCAACGTGATAAAATATTAATGAATCGTAGCAAAAATAAAATAATAATAATAAAAATCTTTTTTTTTTTTTTTTTAAATTTTTTTTTATTTTAATTTTATAATTATTATTATTATATTTTAACGGTCGAACTATGTGGGAGGAGAAAAAAAAAATTTTTTTGTTTGTTGTTGTTGTTGTTGCTGCTGTTAAAAAACGTCACGGGAACACGTAACGGTTGACAATTTTGTGTTTAAACAACAACCAAGTAAATAATTGAAAGATTTAAAACCCGAGAGAGAGAGAGAGAGAGAGAGTTAATCCACCATTTTATTATTATTATTATCATAATAGAATATAATGAGACTCGTGATTATTATGAAAGCTCATTCTATGTGCTTTCAAAGCTTATTTTTCTATCGGGTCAGTTAGGTCACATGAAAATCTAACACATTATTTCGTATACGATCGAATGTTTTATTATCATTATTATTATTACAATAAATTCGTTTTACATTTAATGTTTTTTTATAATTAAAATATCGAGTTTTTCTTTTTTTTGTAAATGCGCGTCGTTAAGTAATTATTATTATTATTATTATTATTATTTTGTGATTGAAATAACAGTCGAGTAATTATTAATAATAAATGGCTGAAAAAACGCAGTGTAAGGATGCAGTGCCGTACCTACGACCGCCGAAAAAAAGTTTCAAACACTTTTTTTATCATCATGAAACGAAAGCTATTTTTGGAAGAACGGGTTCCAGTTGGGGTAATTTTTTAATTATTACTATTATCATTATTATTATTTCTTTACGAGTAATATAGAAATATTTTCCCTTCAGCAACCCTAATTAAAAAAAAAAAATTATTCGTAAAGTATAAACGACAGCAAAACGATGACGTAATTGTATATACATCGTAATTAT